ATGCGTTATTATTTTGTAAAATCGCAGAGAAAGCGGCCACATCAAACTGTATTCCACAACATTAAACCCCGTTCCTACATAAACCCCAATGCGTCATTACCCTACGTCCCCTACCATTGGTTCTCGATTGATTTTCGAAGTAGGCTCTCGGGAGAATGAATACAGACTATAACAAAAAGCAACTATACTCGTATGTAACTGCGAAAATCGATGCTTTATAATCTGATACTTTGTAAAAATTTAATGATTCATTTAATTATTGAGCATTAGTAGGTTAATTGCAGCGTCATACTGTCGATCTGTTCGATCAGTATATCAATGAGAAAATGTGCGTTAATGTCTGAAAAACTAACTGCAAACTAAAACTACGAAGATAAACTACTAATTCTTTATTATACTTTGCCTGGAATATTGTTTGATAGATGATGTAAATTTATGTTTGTATTAAATCGAGTAATTTCAATTCGTATCAATAAAATGTTATTCGAGTTGCCTTCGAGATTATAGAACAAATGGTAGTTCACGGAGAGCCAGATAATCATTTCCTAACAGCTCCGAACGAGACTTTGTCATGTAAACGAGCAACTTTACGATTGCGAGCCAAACTCAACGACGTCGCACTCAATTTTAAGGGTCAAAAGCTACAGGGGCTTCATTTTAGTAATCATCAGGCTTTGGCAATCTTCTTTATTACTACGACAAATGAAATTAAAGGTCAACCGGCGTAAGGATGATTACAACTTTGTCTCATTATGTTCCTCATTCAGAATAAGGACGTTTTACATTGTTTCATGCCAGTTACTATCTAACACTACGTCTTGTTTTGTCGCAGCTACTGACATGTTGAAGGTCAAAGGGGAGTCCGTAGCTTACATCGATAGGTCTCATCTCATACTGTCTCGTGAACTGGCATGATACTGTTCGATTTTACTGGTATATATATACCCGCCAAAAAATTATGTACATACATTGGCAAAGAACTTTCACGGAACTAGGAAGATACAGGAAAAACCAGAAATGATGAGAGAACTTATTTCAACGCAAGAGTTTAGAAGCTTATATCTTTTTTAAAAAAGGTACCTAATTAGTAATGTTTTCAAGACTTTTACTATAATAATAAATGGAATGTATTTGCGTAAATTATTCATTCGCAAATGTATTTCAAATACAGAAACCATTCAGTAAATAGCAACAATAAATAATATTTCGCCAACGGAGTCCATTAAAAATGCATCAATCTCAAAGTGCGGAATTTTCTTCAAACATTACGGAGCTCCGCAGTGGGACGGGCAGAGTGGAGACTTCATTACCATAAGTTGTCGTCGAGGCCTTTGTGATGGTAATCAATACAGCGCACCCTTCTAATGATAATGGCTCTCTTAAATGTAGACATTACGATATTTGGAACTACCCTACATCAGCAAACAATCGAATATCGCTGCTCCAGCGGTTCACAAAATACACGTGATCCCGCTAATGGGATTCAATGTAGTAGTCGACTCAAAATAGTATTTACTTGAAATAAGAAATTTAAACATAACTTTAGTTTTTTAATATAACAGTCTTTTGTTCATATAGTTAAACTATTCCTATTAGTAGTAGTAGTAGGGTCTACGGTTTCCGCCACTCCACAGCTAGCGCGTATTTTGCGTGAGAACAGGAAGTGGATTACTCCAGCCAATCTAGCTCTCCGAAGAACCCCAGCAAACCCTTTATTTTGGTGATCTCCGGGAGCGATTTCAGCGAACTGAAATACCTAACCCTGTATTGAGTCACTGCTAGGCAGTGTTGTATGACGTGTGACGCGGTTTCTTCTTCCACCATACATGCTCTGTATATTGGACTGTCTGTGACACCTATGTTGTTCCAATGTTTGTTGAAGTAGCCATGACCAGTGAGCGCTGTTACGACTGTAATAAGCTGTTGTTTGCTGAGTTTGAGAAGTATGCTAGAGAACCGTCTATTGATTTTCGGCAGACCGTCTTTAGTCTGCCTGCAATCGCTATAAATTATTCCTATATTTGACTTATTTTAAGTTTTAACTTTGGAAAAAATGTAATAAAACAGTGATTCAGAAATTTATTAAGTAATAAGACACAAAAAATGAAAAGAAAGACCTTTAAAATAATGTTAGAAACTAGAAATATGTTCTGACGAAACTGTAACCTTGATAGTTGTATTCGTGGTCTAAATTTTGTTGTTGCTTAAAGTAAATTATGTAATAAAATGTATTTTACATGTAAATAATTAATGATTAAGTATATTAAACCATTTTATATATGATGCATATTTAATAGTTATATGTTGAAATTAACTTTTTAATTCTTGTAAAGGATAAAACTGAATTCTAAATATTTACATCACAAGCCACTGAAGAACAATTGACAAACAATTTCACCAGAAAAAAAATGCATAGTTATGTTTTTAATATGTCCACTTTGAGAACATTGTATTTAATAGTAAATAATTATTAAAATAAAATAAGTTTTACAACAACTATTTCTTATTAAATGAAATATTTCTCTTGGTACAGTGCATTGTAATCTGCCTTAATTAAATCCGCTGCCTTCTCACCGATCATCATAGTCGGTGCATTTGTGTTGCCACTGGGGATTGTCATCATCACCGATGCATCAGCCACTCTCAGACCAGACACACCGTACACTCGCAGTCTCTCGTCTACTACACCATAAGGTCCCATCTCACACGTCCCCACTGGGTGCAGCATTGAGCCTACAGCGTGCCGTACGTAACATCTCCAATACTCATCAGATCCCCATTTAAGGTGGTTACAAGCACTCACATCTAATTTAACAATCTTCCCTCCAACTTTTCTCATATATGTTGTGTTTGAATAGCTTAACATAAACTTCAGACCTTGAAATGTCGTCTCAATATCTTCCTCATCTCTATAATAACCCATGTTTATAATTGGATCATCGAAAGGATTAGAACTTTTTAATGTAACTTCACCTCTTGAACGAGGATGCACGTTTATAACAGACGTTACATCTATTTCACGGTCAACATTAGCTTTACTTATTGAATAAGAAAAAGGTTCATCGAAATTAGTTATAGCACGGAATCCAAATAAAATCATAGGCGACGCGGTAGCCCCGATTCTAACGTTGAAGATTTGAAATTGTGGCCTTTGTGAATATCCCCATTTATCCACTCTGAAGAAACCAGATTGTATCGGTACTGGGTATGAATCTAACTCGGTGGGTACTAACAAATTTTGCACTACACTTTGTAAACCTCGTTGCCCTGTGAACACAATCGGCGTATAGTGATGATCTTGTAAATTTTTACCTACTGGTAAATCTACAATTACGTTTATACCGATCGTAGTTAAAACTTCTCTCGGTCCGATGCCTGACAACATTAAAAGTTTTGGACTATCAATCGCTCCTGCTGATACAATAACTTCCAAATTAGCAAATACGTTTATCTTTTTTCCCTCCACAAACACTTCAACACCATAAACCCGCGATGTTATATCATCAATTAGAATTTTAGTAACTCTTGCATATTTAACTACTTTCAAATTACGTCTCTCTTTGTCTCTCAAGAATGCCTCCGCAGTGCTCGATCTCCTTCCATTTGCGAAAGTGAAATGGGGTAGACTTACACCCAAATTATCAGGTCCATTCAGCTCTAGAATTTTTTTCAATCCCATTTCTTCATATGAATTTAAAATGATATCGTTTACTTCACTAAAATATCTATTTCTTTTTGGTCTTGTAACCGCTACTGAACCATCGGTTGAATGTAAATCACGATGATTTGGATTGTTCGTAATACTTGGATCTTTTATGCCTTCGAACTTTTTGAAATATGGCAACACCGAGGCCCAGTACCAACCATTAGCAACCTGTGCCCACTCATCATAATCTTCAGGGACTCCTCTTGAATAAACTTCGAAATTATTGGACGACGATCCACCGAGCATTTTACCGCGAGTCATGTAAATTGCTCTGTCCGGGTGTACTGTGCCAGTATTTTTATCGAGATAAGCTTTGTAGTCCCAGTCATATTCCGTATGACCTAGTGTCCCAAACAGACTGGGGGCCTGAAAATAACGAGGAGATTAGTTGTAATCTTTATTCAGGGAAAATGATGTTAATAACATTGTTACAGAGATGCTACTACAAGATTTATGAAAAAAACGCTAAGTCTTTATAGGCAAGAGTAAAATGCAGATATAATGGTACCACACTAGCTGGTGGTGGATCTCCTCCAGCTTCCAGCAGCAGGACCTTGAAGTGTGGTACTTCGCTCAGCCGCGCCGCCACGATGGCTCCCGCACTGCCCGAGCCAACCACGATGAAGTCAAACTTATCTCCATCTGGAATTTATTAGGACACATTTACAATATACAATGCCCAGTTCCGGATCCTAGATTTGTCGAATATGGTGACTAAATACTACTGGAACTCAAGTAAGTTCACTTTATTTTTGAATGGGTAAATTTAATCACTTAGATTGGGATCTATGGTATTTAAGAAAATTCGCATCACCAATTATTACGTATTAGCCTATTAATAATCATGTTTATTACGAGTATTGACATTTTGGCGGAAATATAACGCACTGCGACTACAATCAGCTAAGAACACAAACTTCTACTTCCAATGACTTATTCAAGTGAATTTTACTCACAATATGATTATAAAAATCTTAACTTACCGCTTAATGGATAAGACTGTGGCCATCCTGCTGGTATTATTGCTTGAGCCAAAGCCATCAACTTCAGCAACCATCTCACCCACGGCAAATAACTGGTCGATTGCACAAATCCCAAGAAATTGTTCACAAACACATTTAAACTATTTAATTCAAACATTTCTTAGCATTATTTAATTAGTTTAAATCATCATAACATTATATTTTATTATACAAATTAAACAAACAAAAGTTATTTTTTTAAACGTCAATTACTATTTCTAAACGCGCGCTCTAACGCACATTTTTAAAAACAATACGCGAATTGGCGGTAAAACTGACGGCTGCGTTTATCAATTCGTTTGGAGGACAGCACCGGCTAATATATCGCAACATGCCCGAATTAGAATAACTAGTTTTATAGTTAACGCAAACAAAGAATTTTTATTTCGAATTTAATTGATTACCGAAGAATTCATTGAAGAACATGACACAAACAAATACATACTAGTCAACAAGTGTCCACTACAAACCGGTCTCGAATATCCAAGAGAAAAAAGTCGTAAGAAATTTACCGTAAATAATGTCAAGTTCACTTTACCTTAAACTAGTTAATAATTGTAATGTTTATTTACAAATACAGTAAATTGTTACAGTCTATGAATATTAACAGACTAGCTGGAGCCCGCGACTTTGTCAGCGTAGAGTTCATAACCTCAAAACTTATAATACTTTCTTAAAAATTATTTAAACTAACTATGATAATGGATGACTTTTACTTAGATCTATTTCCATTGATCTATGACGGACAAGATGCAAAAAATATGTAAATTATTGCGTCAAAGAAAAAGGACAGATTCCTAATAATAATAACTATATAAGGATGCAAGGATAACTCTGACTGTGGCAATCTCTCAAACTAAGGTCTACTGTTAGCTTTATTATTAAATAAAACATTTCGTAGAAAAAATACTTTGCTAGAGTCGGTGAATGCTGTCATATAAGAAGAATCTTTAACTTGCGAACCAACAATTTTATTTCCCGACATTGTAGACCCCGTTATGTCTGGCAAAGTCTAATTTTAAACCTAAAACATACTAATCTTACTACTTACTAATATTATAAATGCGAAAAAATTGATGTTTATAAGAAGATGTCTCTAGAACAGATTAATTAATCTGGATGAAATTGGTCACAGAAATAGAATATAGTCGGGAATACCACATGCAGAGTCGCGGGCAAAAGCTAGTAATTATTGGTCCATAGTGTAGCACTTTCTTTTACATTCATGGCCTGCGACAATAAAAACTAAAATAATTGTGTTGGTATCAATTAAACGATTAATATAGTTTCGAAAGCATTACTCTATGTATTGCGGTATTGGAAGGTATTACGAGATTCAAAGTTTATTGCAGCTCGTTGTTAACTGCTAGGGCAAGTATACGCACATAGATACAGGCAGTTCCAATCTTTTCGGCGGCTCAAGACGCGGCAACTCATATGAACGAAGTCTGAAGCCGCAATATGTTTAGAAACCTCAATATCAGGTTGTTTTGCTGCTGGTAATAAAGTGTCCTGCAATTCTTTCCGCCGATACTTAAAGACTTGTTCAGCGCAGTCTCAAGAAAAATTACGAGCTATCATAAAGTTTGAATAGCACTATAAGTAATGTATTGTTACGATATGGCTTTAAATTGATTAGAGACAAAGGTCACTAATAGAAAAGAATGTCCCAACAACTTGACTTTTAGATTTATCTATGAAAAATGTGAATTAGGTAATACCCATAGGACACAATTGTGTTATCTCTTGATAGAATCCGTGGGTTTTGACAGCCGAAACACGTGTACAAAACATATTTCGTATTGTTTAGTTAATAATGCAAATGTAATATATTTTTTTTTCAGATCTTTATTAATGCTTCTAGATTGTAAAATGTAACTAATTTATAAATGCGAAATTTTAGATGGATGGATGGATAGATGTTTGTGAGAGTTTGTAGCCTAGTCGGCTGAACGGATCTCGATGTAATTTGGCGTAGTTGTCTACAACTAGGATAGTCTGGAAGAACACAGATAACTACTCACTTTTGCTTTTTTGTTTTAGTTTCACGCGGACGGAGTCGCGGGCGAAAGCTAGTATGTTATAAATTTTTTCTCGTCTGTTTCTCTGTGCTGTTTGTTATTTGATAGGTTTATTTAATGATTGTATGAACTAGGTTACTATGTTATCGAGTTTTATTTTATTAGACACCTAAAGTTAACTACAAGTCATCAAAATCGTTTCTTTACGACTCGAACAACTTTAATTATCCTTGGTTATAAATCGACATCGAAAATAAAGGAAGGGAAATAAATAAATTCGAAATTTCTGTTTGTTATTCATTCGGTATCAATTTCAAGACATTTTGTTTTAATTGGCCTCATGTTTTTTTTTTAATTACGCCTGATTAATTGTATGTATACTTAATTCGTACTTAATAGCGTACAAAAAATTACATATGTTGGATTACGTAGATTCGGCTATGACAATACTGTCATTTGTAAAATCTGTCATCAACTTTTCTAATTCATAGTTGCATTTGCGACTTATTTTGAAAAAATCCTAAAATCATAGTTAACTTTTGTATAATGCATATGGGGGTCCAAATTATTACACATGAACCCCTCTATCACCTCTTAGTGGGTATACGTTGAATTATCAATAACCCAGTGTAGTCCTTGTTAAGCGCGAAGTTAAACTAGAAAATACTATTTTGTGCCAAAACCAAGAGAGAGAGAGAAAGAGAGAGTGACTACAAATCTTACTTAACAGTGGTAGTGCCCGCTTTAACATCTTAGCACGAATAGGCCGGCACGCCCGGTGTAATACCACGACCTCACAGAAGACAAGCGTGAAATGGAAGCAATTCCGTGTTTCGTCTGATGAGTGTGGTGCCGGAGGCCTAATTTAAGTCCCTTTCTCTTTACCACCCTTTTCTTATGAAGAGAGGTTGGGAAGAGGAAGTGGATTGTAGGCAACGCATCTGCAATTGTGGATGTCTATGGGCAGAGGTCGCTTCGCCATTTTGGCGATTTCAAGTGGCCGCTTGCTCGTTTGCCACCTTATGTTATAAAAAAAATCTTTTAAATTACAATTCAATTCCGAGAAAAAACTTGAGTACAGTACAGACGGTTGAAAACTGTATTAGAAAACTGTTGTAGAAACAAAGTGACATTTTGTATTTTGTCCATTTCTAGTGACTTGATGTGATGGACGAATTGTTTGTTCGGGAACAAATTTTTTTGATTTAAAACCAGGCCTAGAACCGAGTCAAGCTCTTAATTTTTATCGTGCCATGTTTATGTACCAACACACAAAATATCTTTTTGTGGTACGTTTGCACCAAATCGAGATCTCTATAGTTAAAGTCACTATTGTGGTTTCAGTTCAGAAAATTATGGTGGTTTTAAATGGTAACACTAATGTGATTTTATTGACATTGACATTTTGTATAATTATTTCCCGCCAGAAGATAAGGATAACATGTAATTGTAAATAAATATTATAATTACTTTAGTAATAGATACTGATATTAAGTAACAATTATTATAAAGTGTAAAGTGCACTTACACTCTCCAGCGAGTATCAGTTTAGTGGTCGTTAGAGTCAGTTACTTGAAGATAAGTAACAAAACCATGGATCTTACCAAAGAAATCAAAAATCTATCAATTAATGAGTATGTTCTTCAAAAACAAGTAGTGTTGTGCAAATAACAATGGTGTTATGTGATTTTAAAAATAATTTTCAATTGCAGTATTAGTTCACAATCTAAACGTTCAGATTATATAGATTGGCAGGAATATTTTATGGCAACAGCAATATTAGCGTCTAAGCGCAGTAAAGATCCAAGTTTACAAGTCGGTGCTTGCGTTGTAAACAGAGATAATAAGATTGTTGGAATTGGGTAAGCAACAAAACAATTATACTAATATTGTAAACAAATATTTAAAATATGTTTTTTAAATCTCTGATTATAAGTAATAAAGTTTAGATGGATGGATGTTTGTTGGAGTTTACTGCCTAAATTACTGAACGGATCCCACAATAACCAGACGCATTCCTAGGATTCTCTGTAGTTTGTGTTCTTCAGGTCTGATTCTGTATCTGTAACAAACTTTACCGAGAACCATATCACCTTGTCTATGGTTGGTAAAGCAGTCCCTCTAGTACTGGAGATCTTATGCATTGTTGATCACTTTGGTGTTCCCAAAAGAAGAGGGCATTTGTGCCTCTTCTACTACAAAAAATGTAAAAAACATAGGCTACAAAGTATGTGCATGTTACATTTTCCAGATACAATGGTATGCCAATAGGATGTGATGATGATGAATTTCCCTGGGGAAAGAATACACCATCCCCATTAGATAGTAAATATATGTATGGTAAGTTAGTAATCCATAAAAATTAACAGAAAAATAGACAAAACCATATTAAGTAACATACTGTTATCCAATTCCGTGCAAACATTCTAGTTATATCCGTGCAAACAGTCTAGTCTATGTCGGTGGCTCAGTGGTTTGAACACAGTAATCTACAGGTCTTGGGTTCGAATCCCGCCATGTACCAATGTGATTTTCGATTTTTCGAATTTTCATATGTACATAATTTACCCGACGTTCTTACGGTGAAGGAAAACATCGTGATGCAACCTGCACATATCGGCGAAGAAATTCAAAGATATGTGTGATGTCAACCAACCCGCACTTGGCCAGCGTGGTTGACTATGGCCTAGTCACCCCATATTAGGGTTGGCTCCGAGCCCCTCGGTGGGGACGTATAGTGAGCTGGTGATGATGATGATGTGATGATTCTAGTTATGTTGCATTCATACATCAAAACTTTCACATTTATATTAGTTATTACTAGCTTTTACTTGCAACTCCACCTGTGTGAAATGAAAAAATAAGTAAGTAGCCTTAGAGTTTTTCCAGGCTATGCTTCACATCTATGTCAAATTTCATCGAGATCTGTCCAGCTTTAGGCTACAAATTCTAAACATCCATCCACATAAACTTACACATTTATATTAGTAAGATTAATTTGGTTTCCAGTGTGCCATGCTGAAATGAATGCGATTGTAAACAAAAACTCTGCGGATGTCAAAGATTGTGTCATTTATGTTGGATTATTTCCTTGCAATGAGTGCGCAAAGATTATTATACAATCTGGTATCACTGAAGTTGTCTATTTATCAGACAAGAAGAAACATAAAGCAGCATATATTGCTTCTAAACGGATGTTTGAAGCTGCTGGAATCAAATATTGGTATGTATGTAGTGTTAGGAATAAAATTAGTACCATGCTATAGAATTGCGCAACTCTAGATTATCGGCATAAACGGCACATCCCTAGCTGACAGCTGTCAATGTCACTAGAAGTATGGATAGATTGGCGCGCATCCTAAGCCTGGCGAGAAGTATTGCTCTGAGTTTAAAATGACAGTATCAATTAAATAAGTTGTCTAATAGTAGTAAAATATAATTTTTATAATGCAAATTATCTTCAAATATCTTGGTTACTTAAGATCTGTCATATGCAATGTTTGCTTCAATACAAATTATAGCTACTGTCATCTCCCCTGCCTTATCCTACTAGTAGGGTCGGCACACCGGATTCGATTCGTCCTCCAAATAACTATCATATGTCATCTCAGTCATCACTCCCTTCTTGATCATGTTTCCTTTAATGCAATACATCCATCTCTTTCTAGGTCTACCTCTACCGGTGTACCCCTCCACATTTATTACTAACACCCTTGTTACATCCCCATACCATGCTAACCTTTTACTCATAATTTATCAACCACTGGGGCTATCTATATATAAATTATAGCTACTTTAGTACCATATTTTTCCACAATATGGCAAGGGTTATGTTTGTAGTTTGGCAGACTTTAATGCTTGAGCCAATTTTGTTAGTATGTTTTTGATTCTGAGAGTTTGTCCGATTTCTATATTCACATTTTAGGAAATTGTAAATATTAGTTATTTTAGTGTCTGAAATCAGAATCTGTGGAGTAATTAAAAATTTAACTTTTGTTAAAACAAACATAATGAAATTTGTGTGAAATATTTTACTTTGTTGACATTCAATAAAATAATTGTGTTTTTTTTTTTTCAGGCAATACAAACCTAAGAATGATAAAATTATTATCAATTTCAAGGATATTGACTGGGAGAGCATGAGTCCATCAAAATGAATCTATTGTGATATGTGAAAAAAACTTAAAAATACTGTTTAGTATATTTTTATAGTATAAGGACATAATTATGCAATGTGATATTAAGAAATAAAACAAAGATATGAATAATTTTGTAAAATAAAATTTTATTACTTTATGTACAAGTTGACGAGGGCACAAAATACTCCAATCATACCAACCAAACAGAAAACCAACAATGTGTCGCAAATACAAAATATTATTGAAAAAAAAAACAGAATTTGTATCCTTATTGAAGTGAAAGATTTCAGTTATCACTTTTTTACATTTAAAAAAGTCAAATGCATTTAACATACATTTTTTTCAAGACACATGGGTTGGAAATTAATTTCTCTAACTAAAGTGCACACGGTTACAATTCGGAGTATTTATAATTATTGTCCAAACTTTACAAATATCTACAGAGAATCAAAATCAACAAAAATCATAGCTTTCTAGGTACATTTGACACAAAACCTGACATTTTTAAACTGTAATTTAATTCGAAATAGACATAGATCTGGTATTCCAATGTTATTGTACAGTAAAAACTTATAAATAATAATTATTTACAAAGCGTACCTCACATCACTTGTCAAATATTGCTTGAGGTTCCCCTTATAATTGCCACACAATTTTATTACTTTTTATACATCTAAGAACAGTCATTAAATTACGTTTACTAAATACATTTTGTTAAATTGCATTTTATTGAACACTTCAGAGGCCACACATTATTTTATAAAATAAATCGGAAAGTAATAAAGTTTACTTTGTTTAAAAACAGATTGTTTTATCAATATCGATACAAATGTATTTGCCAATTAAGGATTAATTCGATTTCTGTCTGAGTTTACATAACCCAAAAACATATACAAATATTTTCATAGTTTTTTGTTTATGATATTTTAGTAATGAAATCGTAAAATGTCAATTTGTAAATAACTTTAAACTCACCGAATTTTACAGTAAAAACTGTATTTTCGTTACGGTTTAAACATTCACTTTTAATATATTTTAAAGAAATTGTAATAAATACTGCATGTGAAAAGTAAAGAATGTATTAAAAAAATCAAATGGATAAAATAAACATTATATTTTGGAGAGCAATTTGTTTGATTTGTGACTTAATTTCGACTGAAATTTTCATATTTGTGATCATGAGGCGATACTAGCATCACTTGAGTTTTGTTAATGAATCTTAGACTTGACTGTACATCAAGGTCTTGTGTTATTTAAAATATTTTTACAAACAGTACAAAAAAAAAACAATAAAAAAAAACATTATCAATACGAGAATTTTGTATTTACTAGATGAGAGGAAGAAGTCAGGCCGAATATTATCTAATATGAAATTTGTGGGCGATTATGAATTGCAGTAATATTCGGTTTTGTGTCACCTTAGTATATATTTATCACTGGTTCATTGTCACTAGAGTAATGCTTGGTTTGTCAGTAAAGTCCAGTAGCGCTCAAAAGCAGCACTGGCATGACGTCAAAGGTAACTGGTGCCAGTGATCTGGCCAGTAAACCACGCAATATGCCACACGTACAAACGTCACGCGGCAAATCGCATCAGTCTTAAACGACAATAGAATTGATATTTGACGCTATAAAATTTTGCGTTGCGCTACCACTCATATGGCATCTCCTTAACTCTTACGTCACAACACATCACATGCAATATAAAAAGTATCTACTGAATAGATACAAATACCTCAGTCATTTAGAATTACTAGAAAAAATTAGAAATATTTAAGAGTGATTTAATGCTTTCGGCCGTCATTCCAAGGCAAATGTCGATATAAACCAAATAATCACTTATTTGAAGTGTGCAATGCAATTATTTTACTTAGATCTTATAGGGCAGAGCGTGCACAGTGGGTTTTAAATCTAAGCTTACGTAGTAATTTTCATCTAATATTTTGAATGTCCGTGTAAGTCGAAATTTGAGGCCACTGTGCGCTGCTCCGCTCTTCATTTCGTGACCGTCTTAAGTAACTAATTACAAACACTTCAAATAACTATAAGATACAATTGTCTTGGAAGATTTGGCTATAACCACGACCACTCAAACAAGACACTAATGATTGGCGCAACAAAACCGATTATCACCGAACGCAGTTCCCCACATGTGTGGGCTGAGTCCCTCAGTTGGAGGTGTCTGCGGGCGGCGGCGCGTCCTCCGCCTGCGCCTCGCCCGGCGGCTTGAACGCCAGCGCATACGGGAACCTCGTGTGACACGCCTTTATGTATTGCTCTATTTCATCCTCGCACGGACCGAAGTCACCGTCTTTCAGACTATCTAACACTTCCACGCAACCCTGGAAAATAAAAAAAAATGTTTTTGCTGTTAGTAAAGGGCATTACAAAAACACGTATTAATTATTAGTAGAGATGAAGGTTGTTGACATAGATAATATAAACATAGACTATTAGAGAAAGTGCAACATTTAGTTGACATAGATTATCCATTACCTAGTTTTGTATAGTCATTTTACTGCATTTTAACACGAACTTCCATGGTTTAAGACAGGGCGAAAATTTAAACAGAATAATTAAAAAAGAAATATAAATATTAATAGATAGTCCCACAATTTGCAGTGTAATAAAAATAAAAGTAAATTCCCGTTTTAACCGACATCACGAAGGAGGAGGTTATCAATTGCTCTAATTTTATTTTACTTGTAGGAGCTTTGATATATTTATTCATTAGAGAGGTACACCAACTGCATATTGAAAGTGTACAACGAAATTAAATGTACAGAAGATAAAAAAATAAACAGAACATACAGACGATATTATCATGATATTCTATTAATCTTGACAGCAACCATGCTGGATTATGCAAAAACATATCTTGTATCATACTATTGGTTTAACTAAACAAATATTTTATTAAATACTAATTAAATGCCATTCCTGTGCGGAAGTCAATCGCTTTCCCATCTATACTTCTATACTATAATAATAAAGCGTAAACACACACTTCTTTGTTGCCTAAGATGTCAGCAATTACAGCATATTTTTGAATAATTCTTTTTTTAATAAAAAGTTCTATACTTACGTCACGCTTTTGGCTATATATTTTAACAGCAATAACTTAGGGGGTAAATATTATGGATAAAAACCCTAATGTGGGAAAAATACCATAACTTTGCTACCAACATCAAAAAAGCAAGTCATGTCATTTTGACATTTGCAATTGATAATTTGACAAATGTAAACAACAAAATAAAATTTTCTCAATTTTATGCGGATGAAGCCGCACGGGAACAGCTAGTTAGTGAAAAGGTGTAGTACCTCTATAGTGAGGTCGGGGTAGTGCATGTCCGTGGCGTGCGCGAGCGCGGCGGCGGTGCGCGCGGGCAGCAGGCGGGCGAGCGCGCGCGCGCCCCACAGCGCCGCGGCCTGCGAGTCGCGCGCCGCGCCGCTCATAAACTGCTCCGCCATCTGCAGCGCGCTGCGCCCCTGCATCATCTGCACACACATCGCACATCTGTACTTTATACTTATATGTCGCAATCAGAAGAAATCAATTTGAATTTAAGTCATAATTAGAACACGAGCGCCGCCAAGCGACTTTCGTGAGAACTTAGATTATTCTGAAAATAGGGATCGTTGCGAGAACATTGTTTGAACGTTATGAGCTTGGCAGATCGATGATATCCTGACTGAGGAGCATTGTGAATGTATTTCTGGAATCCGACTTTACCCATGGCCGCCCACATGTGATCTTAAGTAGTAGTAATTCTGATAACTGCTAGCTCAAGCCGACATATATAATAAAGCGGAAACACACACTACTTAGTGGCGTAGAATGTCAGCAATCACAGCACATCATTTTAATATTATAAATGCGAAAGTTTAGATGAATGTTTGTTAGAGTTTGTAGCCTAAACGGCTGAACGGATTTCCATGAAATTTGGTATAGATGTAGAGGATAGTCTGGAAGAACACAAAGGCTACCTTTTTTTTTTCTTTAATTCCGCGTGGACAGAGTCACGGGCGAAAGCTGGTTATTTAATAATTATTTGTTTACACACTTACGACACGCTTTAGGCTAGATATTTTTAGGCTATAAAACTTATGGGGTAAATAAATTGGAAAAAACCTTTATGTGGAAAACGGACAATAAACTACAAGCTGTCAACATTAAGGGAGCAAGGTTATTATGGTAACGGTAAATTGACATTTGCAATTGAGAATTTGACAAATGTAAAAAAATTCGCAAATAAAATATTTTTTTTATAATTTCATGCGGATGACGCCGCATGCGAACAGCTAATTTATTCATAAAAAAAATTAACTCAAAATTCATGTTTTTTGAGTGTTCATCATAAACATTATTTTCACGAGAAACTATTAATTCAACTCCCGTCGCAATAGAAGGAAAATATGTTATGCATTTTTAGAGAACTAAGAAAATTGGAATATATTAAAAAAAACTTTTCTATGATACATGTAGGCGTCAAAATTATCACTAATGAAGCTCTCTATCACCTCTTAGAGGGAATCCGTTGGATTACCAATAACCGTATATACTTTCCAGACTATCGTCTACATATATGCTTAATTCTCAATTTTTAAACAATCTAAATTTACGCATTTATAACACTAGTAATAGGAATGTTAGGGAAGTCATTGGCTCCTTTTATACAGGGAATCAACCTAACAAAGAAGCCAAGGATATACATATAATTGAACAAAATACCGAATTTAAAATTAGTAGTAAATAAAAAAAATGTGAGAAATGTATTTGTAAAATTATATTTGAATTGTAATATTGTATGTCTGTTTGTATAAATAAATAAATGTTACCTGCTGCGTCTCGGTGTCGAGGACCTCTGCGACGTGGTGGTGCAGCGCGGGGCGCGCGGCGTCCAGCCAGACGCGGAAGCGCAGCAGGCAGTCGTGCAGGTGGTGGTGGCCGCGCTGCAGCCGCCACGCGCGCTTCACGCTCTGCAGCATCAGCAGCGGCTTCTCTGAACACACAACACACGCTTATAGAAACACTACTCTAGTGTAGCAACAAATGCAGTGTGTGCCTTTATGGAAATGATAGGGCAGGTAAGGACCCTTACAAAACACGTATAGTGACAACGCCTTTATAACAAACATAATTTCGGTATTATCGAAATAGTGTAATATGTAAGCACTTTTATAAAATACATGCTGTGTGTCAGCACCTTTATAATCATCATCATCACCAGCTCACTACAAGTCCCCACCGAGGGGCTCGGAGCCTATCCTAAGTAAGGGACCTTTATAATACACATGTAGTATGTCATCACATTTACAATGGCACTTGTAGTGTGATAACTCATTTATAAAACACATGTACTATGTCAACACCTTTGTAATACATGTAGAATGTGTACACTAATAATTCATTAAGGGACTTTGAGTGTGGCAGTGATCCGTTTCAACTATTATATATTAAGTACCAGCTATTTCTTGCGACTTTATCCGCTTGAAATTAAAAAATAAAGTATAACTTTGAAATGATAAAAGAATTCGTCCCAGTAGTTTTTGAGATTTCAATACATACATAAATACCAATCTTTCCTCTATATAAAATTAGTATAGATATAGATTAAATATTCGACATAGTTACCTTTTCTAAAGTATATTTCGAAGGCCATTAAATGTGTTTCTATTCTATCCGCGGCGAGCGTCCGCAGCGGTAAAAGGAACTTTATTGCTTGTTCTAACGGGTCCTCCGCCTGCAATACAACAAACATACACATACAGATCTTACCATAAAATACTTAAACAGACTTTCCCATACATTTTAGCCTAAACATACGTCAACCCTTTAATCCTGTTACTCCAGCGACCCGCGTTTTGTAACGAATCATATTGAAACTAAGTATAAAAAGGAATTTATACCCGAAAGCAGTATGGAATGAAATATTTATGTTAAACAATATAACAATCTATCAACAGCGGTAAGAATTAAAATACCATTTTGACTAAATAATGTTTGAAATATATTTTTTTAAAGTATATGGTGTGTTCCTAATGAGTATTTTCTTTAGTATCAGGCCCTTTTGCAAGTGATTATATAAATTCACTAAAGCAGCGAAGTCCCCGCAGCCCAGCAATGGGTTGCGTATAACCGACAGAGGAGGAGACGTATAGAAAGATGAATGTAATTATGCTTGTTATTTACCCTGGCCAGTTTATCAGGCACCAGCTCATCAAGCTGCGGCGCCTCAGGGTCGCCCTGCTCCTGCTGTTGTCGCGCCTTGTGGTGCTGCTCCCGCTTCACCTGCAACGTTACAATACCTCATATATACTCGTCGAAATTACTTCATGTCTGTTTAGAGAGTTAACTCTGTCCATAAAAGAAAAAAATGAAAGTTGATGTTGAATTTTCATTGATTATAATTTAACTGTTTTTTATAAGTTAATTACTTCACAGTTGAATACTACAACTTAACAGTTGAGTAACGACGAGTAAATAACTTTACTGTTGTAAAACGACTGGAATTCGCTCGTAAAGCGACAAGATCAGAGCTTGTACCTTACACTGAGTCTTCAATTATTGTGTACAAGGATTAAATAAATACAGCTTTTACTAGAATAATGAGATTTAATATTTTATTTACATTCCAAGTGACTAAGATTTAGTTGCACATGTGTTTGTTTAGATGGCGCTGTATTCAATACAGAATTTAAGTCCTTATTTCGTTGAAGGAACCATTATCATTGAAGTATTCTGTAATTACTTATTTAACTAGTAAGTTATGTAAGTAATATTTATAAGTTATTAGTAAGTTATGTAAGTAATATTTATAAGTTATTTTAAGTACATTAGATACCTGAACCTGTGCTGCCAGTGCACTCTCTTGCTCCGCTTTACGTTTAGCTTTTCTCTGTTTATTTCTAAGTTTCTTCAGCTCGGACGGCGCTAAGTTTTCTGAAAAGAGAAAAATTACCTCTCATTAATATTATAAAGTAGCACACGAGCGAGAGGCCATCTGAATCCGCCGAAATGGCGAAGCGACCGCTGCCCATAGACATCCCCGCAATTGCAGATGCTTTGCGCGTACCCTTACAATCTTACAAATAAACGCGGTATAAAGTTAAGTACTAATATTAGTAATAATATTAGTATAAAATTTGCTTATTCTCAGTTTATTCCTAAGTTTAAGTTTATAGCGGGTTTATTTGTAAGGCTGTTAATTAATCGTTAAAGTTTAATCTAGAAAAATTGTATAAACTTCCAAGTTATTTCTGATGATGTAAAGTCTGTCCTTGAATTTTAAGGCTTTACGTTACTGCAAAAACAATTAGCGTATAATCCTATTCATAAACACGAAGCGTAAAAGACAAGGAGAGTTAGTCACGACCCTATTCTTTGCCTTAAAAGGACCCATTTTTGATAAATGCTCTGTTCACTAGTCTAAGTTGGTGCAGCTACCATTAATTGAATCTTATTGTAGTAGTTTTAATGTCTGTTTTACATATTTCGACCCTCTAGAAGGGTGGCCTGCTCCTTCCCCATATTATTTTGCTTTTCTTCTAAAAATAGCACTAAAAAAGTGTTACTAAGTCAAGTTAGATTAAATTTACAACCGATTTAAAAATAAGTTCTCTAAAAAAATTATGTAAGAAATACATAAGTCGCGTTAACAACAATCAAACAGTCGTTATAAATGCGTGATAAATTCTTGCAGTCCCGTCAAAAATCCCGGTTCTCAACCAACCAAGTTTGTAATGAAATTTATTGTAGTCTCAAGTATTTATGTGGCGCCCAGCTTTTATCAGCTTTGGCTTCCTTTGGCACGTTGATTTATACGTAGATTTATATCTTTATTAAATAAAACTTGAACAAGGAGAACGAACATTAAGTAAATAAATTCATCGTAATGGATAGATATATATTCTTGAACCAACTTTGCCTTAAATAATATGGAGAAACTATATTTCAAACGAATGTGACTGAAATAAATGAAATTTGTCATGTCCGTATTTATTTTTTATTGTACCAGTACTATATCCCTCCCCTTTTTTTATATAAGGTGGCATACCAGCACTTGGATTCGCCTTAAAGTCACCTTTTCCCTCTCGAAAAGGACCCCCTGACCGTAACCATCCGCAATTTCAGATGTGTTGCCTCCCCTTAATTGGTATGAAGAGACGCACATAAAGAGGAAATTGTCCCTTCTAATGCGTTTCCTCCACCATCCGTTCATTTCAAAATCATAGAATACTGTAGAATAAGTGTTAAAATCCCCACAGAGTCAATAGTTGCCAATTAAGTGCAGCTGTAAGAGACAATATTTGCAATCTTGTTATCAATAGGTTATAAATTTTAATTATATTTGGTGCAACTTGTCAAGCGGGTGCACTGGACGCAATCGACGCCTATCGCCTGTACAAAACTATACATTAAAATACCTAACGCACAACTCTGTTATGCAAATATTTTGATTGAAATTCTTTAATATAAAATAGTTTTAGTACATAAAACCTTGAAACGGAAACTAGTTTACGTACCTTGATATAAAATGATAAAGTAACTAAGTACATACTTTACATTTTAGATTACCCGAAAAACATCGATTTTTTTAAGATATAATAAAAAATTTGAAACCAAGAATCAGTAAATTATAGAATACCTCGTAAAGACTTCAATAAAAAGATTATAATTGAAATCGTATAAGTGCAATTGAATTATGATTTTTTTTGAGTGACAAACTGCAAAGGAAACATCTATCACAAATCAAAAAGACACAAAAACAATCTAGACATGTTCATAGCTTGGAAATCTTCAAATGAGCTAAACATCAACAACAATGCGACATCACTCTCTAAATAACTGTAATTTAAGGCATTGTCATAAGTCCAGTAAACGCACTGGGTTTTTACCCACTTTCAATGGGTGAAAGTAAATAGTGAAACTTAAATAGAAAATAATATGCAAACTCTAAAGTTTAGGAGACAAGTAACGACAGATTTGCGACGGTCACTAAATCTATCTGGCGAGACGCATAACTTTTGTCTCGCCACTTTGTTTACAATTGCATAGGTAGAAAATTTAACACGCACGATCAATGACGAATTTTAAGACAGAATAACTAGTTATACTGACATAACTAGCTTTTGCCCACGACTCCGTCCGCGTGAAATTAAAAACAAAATTGGTTAGCCTATATGTTCTTCCAGCCTATTCTTTACATCTATACAAAATTTCGTCGAAATCTGTTCAGCCGTTTAAGCTACAAACTCTAACAGACATCCATCCATCCATCTAAACTTTCGCATATATAATTTTTTGATTTATTTTAATACATACAAAAATACAAATCTTTCCTCTTTGTTATTAAAGAAATATAGATATAGAATAGACATACCAAAATAGAACGGAGGGCAAAATTCCATTATAAATCGATTTAAATAATGCAAATAGTACGTCTAATTAATAAAAAAAAACCTGTATTTTAGGGACTAAAGTTTAACAATTCCATCTAAACAGATGCAAGAGCATACTCTTCGGGAGATTCTTATCGTTTAATCTATTTTATTCGACGCATTAATCATACTTGGTTACGGCTACTATTATATTAAGTGTACACTTTTTCAGTATATTGCCAATATCCTCGACACACTTTCGCTTAGGGCGTCCCCTACCCGGTATTAAATTTTGCAACTATCGACTTGTCTATAGCAAATAGCAATTTCACGCAGTGACAATAATATAAAACTGTAAAGCGACACGTGTACGTCGCAACAATTTTATGAAACAAACAAGCATGAAATTAGTTACACAGAAATACTTCAATATTTCGAGAAACATTTCCGTATATTTGCAAGAAAAAATTGATTGTTATGCTATCCCATTCATTTTACTTTTCATAATCAAATTATAAGCAAAAAGAAAAACTCATACGAAAACGATAAGGAAGTATGAAACAAAGACAACCAATAGGAGGAACTAATATTTTTAAATTGCAGTCATAGTTTATAAGAAAAAATTACCTAAAGCTAGTCATGATATTAACGCTGGGTTTAATTTATTTAAGTTTAGTTTTTTCCATTTATTTTATCATTACCTACTGACTCATTAGTGTTAGGATAAACTAAGTTTCAATACACTCAAGTTACGTAGTTCGGAAACACATTCAAGTTATTGAACCATAAACACTAACGAACTGTTAAAAGTAGCTTAAACTAGTCATAAGTCAAATTGTAACGACAATCTATAGATCAATTTGTAAATCAACATCATTAATATTTGCCAATTAATTACATTCGGATATTAGTGTGGGATATAACGAAACCCGGAATCTAGATATTTCTTCAGCCACAATTCAACCTGTTCCATATCCGGTACTTCGTATTCATTATCCGTCTAGTTGACCGCCGACAGATCGAGAACGCCTTTCCAATGCAGTTGGGCTTGGCTAACAGCATTTATAAATAACAATATCGCTTATCTATGTACATAACATCAATTGCTCGAGTACCGTGAGAAACTAAATGTAAACTATTAATAAATATAATAGACTAGCTTTCGCCCGCGACTCCGCCCGCGTGGAATTAATAAAAAAAAATGTGAGTAGCCTATGCGTTCTTCCAGGCTATCCTATAGGTCTATGACAAATTTTATCGAAATCCGTTTAGCCATTTAGGCTACAAACTATAACAAACATCCATCCACCCATCTAAACTTTTGCATTCATAATATTGGTAAGAAGTAAGATTAGATTACTGTGCCGACTCTCCGTAAGGGATATGGGCAAGTGGATGATGAAGAAGTAAGATTAGATGTTAGGCGCGACTCCGCCCGCGTAAAATTAAAAGATAATACAAAATAGCCAATGTTACTCATACATCAACTTCCTTCTAGGGGGTGAAAGAATTTTTTAAATCGGCCAGTAGTTTTTGAGTTATTCCAATACAAATCTTTAATCTTATTAATATTAGTATAGACAATATAGATGGATACGATTTTATATTACTTAATCCTAATATCACTCTTAATGTGATAAGTTTAATTTCAACAAACGGTTCTTTACTACCGTACTCCAAATCTAAATCTACAGTAAAGGTCTCCCTTAGTGAGCAATTAGACTATAGTTACGTGCGTGACATTGTCTTACTCGATCCGTCGCGTTCCGTTCAAGGTTTTGTTTGTAATTGCTTCATTTCTCTTTTTATTACTTACGTTCCATACGTGACCCTTTGTGGACAAGCTTGCTAACGAACCTCTCATGAGAAAATCGGAATCACGTGCAATGCTTTTTGGTATTTCCCCTTTCTTAGGGTAGGATGCGAGCCCCTTAGTGAGGACGTATACGCTGGTGATGATGTCTTTTTGGTGCATATGTAATAAACATGGCGAGCAAAATATTACACACCTGGAAGATTAAATGTATTTAGCAAAGAAAACCAAGGGTTAACCCGCTTTAGTCAATGGGAACCATCTGTCGGTCGGTTTCAGTTAACAACATTTATTAATGAACTCAGAGGCGGATTTACGTAAGATCATTGTGCCCGAATGCGTCTAGGACACGTCGCATACAAATCGCTGCTCCAATTCACTCGGGTTTCGCAAAACTAATGAAACTGCGACCGTGATGCACGCCACTCTATACCCCGACAGGGGTCGCCGGGGTCGGCCGTGTTTGTAATTAAAATGTCCAAAATTGGACATGTAATTTGGCAACACTAATATCATTCACGAATTATTTACTATGTGATTTCGCTAGTCGTGTACTCAGAATTCACATTATTATTCCCTTATAAGGAATACTGTAAGGATGTAAAAAATCAACCAAAAACACTCTGTTTACTTCATATAGCTTGAAATTTTTTGATACCTCCACACTGGGAGACTTAGGAGAGCTACTTTTACCGAGAGATAACTAAAGAAACCATTAAACTCTGAGTGTGCTTTTTGTTTTCTTTTTCATATTCAAGCTTAAACACAATAATGGAGGTAACAATCTATATCACAAACACTTGAGAGCACACACAAGTGAGATTACCCGCGTCCATTAGCCGAGACTGACGTTTGACGTGACGTGGTAAGACCTGACCTGACGTCTCTTATCTGCTCTAAATACACAGACACTTATTCATCCGAGATAAATATCATAATTAATTATTGTTCTATTCATAATTTATCACACAATTAAGCTTCAGAAACTTCTGGTTAATCGATCAATGTATAACAACGAAACTGACATCTAAATAAGTAAGCATTCCATTTAAAATCTGGAAGTATCTAGGTTACGCAAATTACTGAACTATGCAGCAATATGATAGTGGGTTAATCCAACAATATAGCAGAGCCCTTACCCGCCTTTATGTCGAAACATGGACCGGACCTGCTCTGAAACCGGACAACTGGATCGAGTTTCACGTGCACTTCGTCGGGTTTCTATTAAGATACAGGATTTCACAACCTGAGGCCCGCGTAGTTATTTTGTTAGAAACTATACTAAGTTCCACACTTAAGATTCGTTAAATGGTCAAACAGTCTCATTAGTGTGAAATTACATGGGAAATCTACAAAACCAGTCACCAAACGAACGACGATGGCAGAAAATAAACAAAAGTAATTCTGCACACACCTTTGATAAGTTATTAGGGACAAAATATTAAAAGACAGTATTAAAATCAGTCGGGTAATAAGATAATGCTTTGAGGATTTTCTATTAAAAAAGCCACATATAAAATTATCGCAATAATAGTAAAATGTTGGGCACCCCTGGTCCAAACAGTTTAGAAACACCTCGCCCACCTGTCACAATATCTATCTTTACGCTTGTTTAAACAGGTATTCCGATATTATGAAAATATTAAAGTGTAGTAAAATGTGGAAACAATAATAATATAGTACGTTATCATGTATCGTTAATATTATCTACAAACATCGGATTATTTTTATACACATGTTGTTCTTCGAACACAGCAGGTAGGTTTTATTTTGCTAGAATATTTTACCTTCATAGAATATTGGTTTTTTTTTTATTATAATAGAATCATATAAAAACTTCAGTTGTTGACGAATTATAGTGATTCTTACAAATACTTAAATTAGTTATTAGAAGCTACGGTTGTTTTTTTTAAACATTATATTAATCTACATTTCACGTATTTTAAATTAACTTATTTTTAATCTGACCTTGAGTACTACTGACACTAAATCTAGTTTTTCCGTGTCTTATTACCAACGGAACTAAAACAAATCATTACAGACCGGACCTGACAGATAATAACGCCCTAGATAAGACAAAACTTGCAAAACAAGACCACGTTCGGAAGTGGCACGTACCTCGTTATCAGACTAAAGCATAATGGTAGTTATTATCTACATAAAACATCATACCATAATTGGCATGCTCAGATGTTGATTAATTAATAATTTTCATACTAATATATCGCATTCGAGTTTGCAATTATATTAGTTTTCAATCCAATTTCATACATAACACAATTTCAATTATTTTAAGAAAATTGTAAGGTAAAGTGAAGTGAAATCGTAGCATTAAAAATTACTAAAGGTACTAGAAAGTTCCAAATTCAAATATATATCGAATAAATAATTGATTTTAAAAATTCTGGATACAATCTAACAAAGAAATATAAAAAACAATAAGACTACGTTGTTATTACAAAGCATAAAATTACAACATAATCGAATATAAATAAAACATACATTGTTGCTTTGCAAACTCAACAATGGAATTCAATACGCTATACTTTATTGGAACATCATAAATATTCTCATATTACTATACAAGGAATTGACACTCAAATTAATACAATTACTTCAAGTAACTCTTAACGATGTAATACAATTTATGCAACTTTAAGTGTTCAAATATCCAATAAGCATTTACAATTTGTGTTAACAGCATCTGCCCTAAGTTAATTGCATTTACATTGTGGATACAAAGTATTATAAAGGGGAAAGAATTGTGTTTTAGGATTTTTGTATGTATGGAAATAACTGAAAAATCACTATGCCGATTATAAAAATTCTTTCACCAATAAAAAGCTGGTTTTGCACAATGGTTAAATACAAATACAGCCTGTGCTATCACTAAAAACATAGGCTATATTTTTCTACTTTTTAAAATTTCACATGGACGGAGTCGTGAGAAACAATTAGTCATACAAACAAAAGCTTTTAGACCGATTTCAAATATCCCTTACCATTGGATGGCTACATTATGTTTAAGTAATGTTGGTTAAGTTTAATATTGTCGTTAAATGTTTAAAACATAATTCTAACTCGTAAAAGCTAGACTTAAATTTATCTCACAACATAAAAGGATCTCCTACTCTATGATAAGTAACCATTATTAAAAAAAAATTGTATATATTATCCTTTGCGTAAGTTAATTGTAAGTATTGTCTGGTCTAAACAAAATTAACATATTCAATCAAACAGCCAAATCATTCTCCATGAGTCATTACATAATACGAATCTCAAATATGTTCAACAAATTCGGTACAAATTGATCTATTGAGCCTTTGTCATGCGAATTCTTACATAAATAGACCATTTATTGCGTAACTGATGATGTAACGACGATGATTTTTATAATGACGATTCACTTTTGTTTCAATAGATAAACCGGGTTTTTCTACATTTGTTGGCTTTACTCATTATAAGTGACTTGCTGTTGCTCGCGACAACGTCAATTGGAATTAAAAAATAGTAAAAAACTGATAACGTAGCTTTTTAATATTGAAAGAATTTTTGACATCGGTCCAGTACTTTTTGAGTTATTTCAATACATACGAAAATACAAATCTTTCTTCTTTATAATATTAATATAGATAAAATCTGATTTATTATCTTAAATTGGGCCTTAGATTGATTTTTTTTCCATAGAAAATTACCCCTAAAAAAGTCTTAACGAAACACTACTTTAATACACAAATTATCCCTTTTTTTGGTTATTCAAGTTACATTAAGCTACGTGTAAAACTTATATAAGTTTAACACCTGCCCACAAAAACTGCTAGAGAAATTCAAATAACAATGATCGTCGTAACAATATTTTTGGACAATGGCTCTTTCAAAGTTACACATGCTTACGTGATCAAACGTGGAATAATAACAAAACTGAACATGTAACAAAACATACATAAACACATTTATTCAATGATAATTCTCATGGGTCTTAAAATGTTACGACAATCTTCTACTACATTTAATCTAAAACTCTTAGACCGAGCTTAAACCTACAATAAACAGTAAATAATTAAGTATGTCAACAAGCTAATTAAATTGTGATTTATTTATTCTATCAAAAAACAATCAAAACTCAACATTCATTAAGAACGTTAATTTAAGAATAACAAATCCATATTTAAATTATTTCATACTATCTTTCGCCCGCAACTCCGTCCACATGGAATTAATAAAATGAATAGCTTATGTATTCTTCCAGACTATCCTCTACATCTGTACCAAATTTTATCGAAATCCGTTCAGCTGTTTAAGCTACAACCTTGGACAAACATCCATCCATCAATCCTAAACTTTCGCATTTATAACATTGAAGAAAGAAGTAAGATTTAAACCAAAATGTAAAACGCTTATATTAAACTATTTTAATAAATGTAGTTTTCCGTCAAGGGAACGGTTATTTTCCTCTATTCTTGTATATCACGACACCACGGATCTCGGACGCTTGCAGACGAATTTCTGTACAATGACTGTGCGTATGGCGCCATAGAATACTCATAGAGTTGGAAATGACCTGCGGAAAGTTTTAAGTACCAAGTACTAAGATTGACGAGTCACTAGCGTTGTCACCGTGCAATTGAATCCCCTACAACTTTGTACGTAAGTAAAAGGGGACTAATATCAGTAATCAGTTTTCCACTTGTTTGTACGCATTTGATATTTGACAAAAAGTTGTTGTATTAGTATAAAATTATCTCGAAAATTAACTGAGCCTACCTTTTGGCCAAGAATTGATTTTTCTTTTTTATTTCATTAATATGCTCTGGGAATTTTGTATTTTTTTTTGGTGTCTTATTTGGTCAATTTACTTATTTTTATTTTAAAATCAAAATCTAGAATCTAGATGGTGTTAATATAACTAGGGAAGATAGAACCCAAGCATTTAACTTATCACATTTACGAAGTCATTTAGGACGTAATCTCCTTCAAGTTTCAAATTCAATCTATTTTTACTTGATATTAGTCACATTTTAACTTGAAAATAAACATAAATGTAAGGAAAACTTATAGACTCGGCAAAAGCACAAATAACGCGTTAGTCATTTTAAACGGAATAGCACAAATACATAATTAGCAACAGTCAAGTTAAGAGCAAAGTGTGACGAATTGATATGTGTGACAAAGACCCGCGTCCGGAGTTATTACTGGTAGACTGAAGTGTCATAAGCTCCCTTTACGTCACCTATTACACATTGGATAATAAACGTCACATCACCCTTTAAACTGGTAATCTATACTAATATAATAAAGAGGAAAAAATAACTCAAAAACTACTGAGCCGATTTCAAAAATTCTTTTACCATTAGAAAGGTAATTGATCTGTGAATAACATAGGCTATTTTTTTTACACGCGCGAAGTCGCGAACTGCACTAGTCTATACTAATATTATGAAGACGAAAGATTTGTATTTTTAAAACTACCAGCCAAATTTTAAAAAAAATCTTTCACCATTAAAAAGCTACATTATCAGCGAGTAACATAGACTATGTTTCTCATCTCTTTTATCACGGGGACGAAGCCGCAGGCAACATATTAGTATTTAAGTAAACTCCTTATTGCCTAATGAATTTCAATAGATTAAATTTACCGTAAGCTAATCGACTTCATTCATAAGTTATCATAACAATAATCTATTAAAGGTATCATAAAAATGTTCATTCATTAAAGGTATAATAAAAATCGATTATCATTCCATATTCCACTATATACTTTGCAAAGCCATACTTTAGATTGTAACAGTGTATGTTCTCAGACCTTGGTACACGCGGCCTGCGTCTCATGCGGCATGACATTGTCGTTCGTCACACCAATTATAAGAAATAACTATTCAAATTGAACCAGCTGTTCGACATATTGCAGTATTGGTAAATTTAAACAACTACTATGTTGTTAAAGTTATTTGGATCTTGTTTAAGACATAAAAGCCTCGTTAAAGATAATTTATATATAATGCAATAGATTATAAGTAAATGGAGACAATATATTATGTCCTCTGCTAATATGATCTCACCGAGAGACTTAAGGGTTGACTAGGCCTTAGATAACCACGCTAGCCTAAACTTTTCACACACATCTTTTTAAGTTTCCTCACGGAATATTTGCAGAGTGCATCACGATACTATCATTCACCGCTAGTTATTTTTAAATTTCATCTTAAGACAAATCTCAAGACCTGTTTACTCTATATTTTTCAAACAGTTTTCGTAATCAGTTTCCAATTCCAACATCAATTTTACCAAGTCAAAACTCCGCTCCCACATCGTGCAGTATTCAAATGATTAATCTATCACAGTTCAATATTGTGCAATAATATTTGGACAAGTTAAACACAGTTTAGGAAACATAGAGCTGGTTCACTTAGTGTCATGTGGCATGCTCCGATGTCGGATAGATTACTACTTGAATTGGAAACAACCAATATTTCCTAAGCCTAAAATAATAGGTGTATTATCTTGCTTTGGTCACGCAATCCATACATCTTTATCCTACTTATACATCTCTTATTAATAACTTAACGTAGATTTATAAATGCAGCGTCATTTCAGTATGAAGTATCATTAGAGAGTTGCCAAGTCTAAAAATACCCCCAGACCGTACAATCTCCTAACTTAAAAGTAATATTCTAGCTTTACACGAGGGTAGAATAGGTAGAGTAGTAGACAATGCAGTACTAGCAGTACTCATTAAGGCTGTCAAAATAGTACAGTTCTATCCCAACATGCGTTCGAAATTATACTTCACTGTTCTAGTGTCTTCGTATAAAAATTTACCGAGAAAAAGAACGCCACAATTTACGGCCTCAGTATAGGTTGGAGCAAGGCCAACAGGAAAACGCGGGCCTAGGCTAAGTGATACGCAGGCGTAATGATCACTTACATCGAATGTAAAAGGGCACAGATGCCATCAATATCGAGATCGGAGATAGTTGAAATTCCTTTAACACTACGTGGCCATTTAATGATTACTTTGTTATGGTATAATGATATCAATATTATAAATGCAAAAGTTTACAAGGATGGATGTTTTTAGAGTTTATAGACTAAACGACTGAAAGGATTTGGGTGAAATCTGAAATCTATAGATGTAGAAAATAGTCTGGAAGAACACATAGGCTACTGACTTTTGTTTTTTGAGT